ATATATCCCACCCCCATCTAGTACCCTCAGGATCCACTCCTGCATGTGCCGCCCTTAGGTCCCGTGGTTAGACCGTTCCTGCAACTTTTTGGCCAAATGAGCTATTTCCTCCTGGAGTAGGGACTGCGCTTCACTGCTGAGGCTAAGTGGAGACCCAGTTCCAGTTGTTGGTCTGGAGGCAATGGGCGGAGGTGATCTCGAGAGTGATGAGCATCATTTCATAAGACAATCGGCTCAGGTGTGATCTCTGCATGGTCTCCGGGCAAAACGAGGCCATTCTTCTCTATCAAAGGGGGGAAGGAAGCAGCAGCTGCTGGCCAGGGGGATTCGGGGGCTCTGGGGCTCAAGATCCTTAGGTATATCCACCCAAACATCCCCATGCCAGGCCTCAGGAGCAGCCCCCCTCGATACCCTGACTTTAGAGCACAGGAAAATTGCTGAGAATGACAGGTCTCCTCTGCAGCTCTGCAGCCCTTAGGATCAATCACATCGTGGGCCTCGCTGTCAGCATGCTCTGCTTCCTGGCTGCAAAAGTGAGCATTTCCTTACGTTGCCTCAGGAGACTTTCTGGCTTCCATATCATGCCCTGTCAAGGAGGTTCACTTGAGCCTTATGTTCTTTCAGCAAAGTTTCTAAAGCAGGTTTAGAAAAACTAGCCACCTCCATAATCCTAGTAGCTACAGCTGCCTTCCCCTCTTTCAAGTGCCAAAGCCACTTCATAAGCCAAGCTCTCCCTTCCACTTCTACCTCGTTCCAATCTGCCGAAGGTAAGAGTCTCATGCTCCAGCACCCAAGGGGTTAGCACCACCACTGACCAATAGTGGTGAGCGGTCACTGTCGCCTTCTGAATGGTGGATGAGCCATAGTTCTAGATTCCTATCCCCACAGGCTCCCTTCTAGGGCTACTCCCTGCTGTTTTAGCTTGCATCCCCATAAAAGCTGAGCCTGAGCCTGGAACTTGGGTGCAGTTGATTTGGTAGATGAATCCAGGAAATGGGAGAGAGGAGAGTGACACGGGCAGATGGGAAAGTCAGCAAAGTCTACCTTGGCCCCCGTCCCTTATGGGGTGAAGGCCTTGGCCCACACGCACTCCCAGGCCAGGCCTGTGGGGTTGAGAGAGCTCCTGAGGCTTAGGAGAAAGCCACAGTAGACGCTGGAAGTGAGGCACTGACAGTGTCCACGGAGCCATCTACCCTTGCTGTGGCTGAAGTCAGAGGTGGGCTGATGGGATGGAACCAAAAGTTCCAAAACATCTAGCACACCTCTCTTGCCTCAGCAGGCATCAGGGATCTGGGACAAGACCAAAGGCCACACACCACCGGCTCCCTGGGACGCAGGTGCCTGCCTCTGCAGAGCTTTGTGCGTCCTAGAAGTATGTGGAAAGGGCCTACTAAGTGTTGATTAGGACTTTTCTACAATGAGATACAGGAAAGAACAGAACGAAAAGCCCTGAGGAGCTTACGTCCTAGTGGTGGGGGCAAAGGAGACCGGCAATAAGATGGCATGCGAAGTGGTTACGGATGCTAGAAAACAAATCGGGAAAGGAGGATCCGTTGTCCTGCTTTGGTTGGGCCAGGGAGAAGACGGACTCCTTTAAACAGTCGTCAGGAAAAACCTCGCTGAAAAGGTGGTATTTAGGCAGACATCTGAAGGAAGTGAGAGTAAGACCAGCCAGATACCGAGGAGGAGGAATGGGGAGGGAGGGGGGAAACAGGGCCCAGGAGCTCGTAGTGCCTTGGACGCCAGGTGAAGACAGTGCTTCCGGGAGGAGCAGGAGGCGTCCAACTGCAAGAAATGCGGCTGACGGGCCAAGACAAGGACGGAGATTTGGCCAAAGTCAGTAACACTGGAGGGTGATGGCGTCGGGCTGGGGAGGACAGCAGGCTGGGGAGAGTGGGCGGTGAGAAAGCCAAACTCGAGGGGTATTAAGAGCCGAAGAGGGAGGGGAGGAATTGAGGACGGGGAATACAAGCAACTTTTTGGAGTTTAGTTACAAAGGGAAGCAGAGAAATGGGGCAGTAGCTGGAAAGTCAGGTCAGGTCAAGAAAGGCTAGGTTTTCCAAGATGGAAGATCTACCAGGTTCTCTACTCCCATTTCCCTTCATCTTCCCTCTTGCTGTTGACAAATCTGTGACCTTTTTGACCTCCCTCTTCAAGCCCAAAAATACTTTTTGCAGCGCTCTAGATACCCAGAGAGTTCTGAGCTGTAGGAGGTGAAACCCACAAAGAGTCCTTTGTTGCTGCTTTCTGCTCTGTCACATCCTTCCCTGGGGCAATGAGCCCGGCTGCCTCGTCAGGGGGTGAAATTCCACAGCAGAAAGAACAAAGTCAGATATCTCAAAATATCATCCTGCTCCATTTATTTCGGGCCCTTTAGCCACTTGGATGCCTTTCCCTAAACATGGGGCTCCCTCCCTGCCTGCCTGCTGCTGGTCTAGCAGGACAGATACCTTACTCTAGAACTGTTTATTTTCAAGTAGTCTGGCCAAAGCAATATTCCCTAAACTTTAGGCATTCTTGGATCACTGCTACGATTTTGGCTATTTTCCCATACCTCATATAGTTTTTACTCCCTGTTTTTATATAAAGCACTTTCCTTTACATTTTTTTTATTGTCTAAAATTTGCCTAACATAAAACTCACTAAAGTGTATACGATTCCGTGGCTTTTAGAACATTCACATTGTTGTGCCACCATTACCAAACAGTTCCAAAACATTTTTATTCAGTCTAAAAGGGAACCCTTCACCTGCCAAGCAGTACCTCGCTCCTTCCCACTCCCCCCAGTCCTTGGTAACCACCAATCTGCTTCCTGTCTCTACGGATTTGCCTATTATGGATATTTTATATAAACAGAATTATGTAGGGGTGCTGTGGCTCAGTAGGTTGAGCATCAGCCTTCGGCTCAGGTCATGATCCCAGGGTTCTGGGATCGAGTCCCGTCTTGGGCTCTCTGCTCAGCGGGGAGTCTGCTTCTCTCTCTCCCCCCCCCCCCCCCCCCCCCCCCCCCCGGCCGCTTTTGTAATCTTTAAAAATAAATAAATAAACAGAATCCCAAAATACATGGTCCTTTGTGTCTAGCTTCTTTCACTTGTATGGTTTCTCCATTAGTCCCTTCTTTTGGGTTTGATTTTTTTCTAGTGTATCCCTTCTCATTTCCTTTTCTGTATATATATTTTTTCTTAGTTATCTTATTTAAAGATTTTATTTTTATTTATTCTTTTTAAGATTTAGTTGAGATAGAGAGAAAGCATGGGGGGGAGAGGGAGAGGGAGAAGCAGACTCCCTGCTGAGGGTCGGGGGGAGGCTCCATCCCAGGACCCTGAGATCATGACCTGAGCCAAAGGCAGACGCTTAACCGACTGAGCCACTCAGGTGCCCCAAGATTTTATTTTATTTTTTAAGTAATCTCTACTCCCATTGCGGGGCTCGAACTCCCGACCCTGAGATCAAGAGTCACTCTGCTCTTCCGACTAAGCCAGCGAGGCCCTCCGCTTTCTTAGTTATTTTAAAAGGAAAATTTATTTCACCATCGTAACTATTTTAAATACTTTGTTTAATCTAGGTTAATGTAAATATAGAATTATTAAAATACAAAAAAGCACTGCTCAAATGTTTTTCAATTTTGTGTCTCATGACCTGTTTTGTATCGCTTTGCTGCTTGAATGAATAAGGACACATTTTTATACAAAGCAGATGTTTAGTAATCCCTACTCTACGCCTCAAACAAAGGCTGAGTCAGGACACCCACTTCTCTCACAGCTGTCATATGGCCCTTGAGAAATGTGTCCCCAGTCTCAAGTTTCAGTGGATGCAGAAATGCACTGTCTATATTCCAGGGAAAGAAAAGGTTACAGATTGCAAGGACCAGTGTCACCACAAGTACAGTACACTCCCCAAAGCACCTTATATAGTGCCTTGTGTGTATGGGGGTTGGGGAAATGGACTCCCCACGTCCTGGGAAAGAACACTGATCCAGAAGGGATCTAGAAGGTGGCCAAGTCTCTTTTTCAGGAGAACACAGGAAATCTGGATTTTTAATGTGAAATCTCCAAATTCTTAAAATGTTGGTAACGAATGCAAAAAAGTTTTTTAAAGATTTTACTTATTTATTTATTTGAGAGCGAGAATGAGAGAGAGAGAGAGAGAGAGCATGAGAGGGGGGAGGGTCAGAAGGAGAAGCAGACTCCCCGCTGAGCAGGGAGCCCAAGACGGGACTCGATCCCAGGACCCTGGGATCCTGACCTCAACCGAAGGCTGACGCTCAACCGACTGAGCCACCTAGGCGCCCACGAATGCAAAATTTTTAAGCAACGTGGGTGGAGCAAATCCTATCTGTGTACAGGATTTGTCCCGGAGAGTGCTTGTTTGTACCCTGGGTCAGACAAACCCTTTATTCTACGGAGGAGAAAAAGCGAGGCCTGTAAGAGAGAGGCGACTCGCCAAAAGCCACACAGCCAGGCGGGAGAGGCTGAGCCCAGGTTTGAGAAAGACGAGTAAGATACACTTACTCCGGACTCAGGCTGAAACCCTTCTGGTCCGCTCCGCGCCTCCAAACCAGGGCGGGGGGAGCCAGGAGCAAGGTTCCCGCCCCGTCGGCCTGCCCGCCTCATCGCACCCTCCATCACTGAGCGCCCAAGGTTTCGCTGCCCCCCCGCCCCAGACTCGGTCCTCGGTCCCTTGGGCCAAGAATGCCCCTGCCTGCTCCTTTTTGCCATCCTCGCGCCCCTTCCCCGCCCCGCTCCGCTGGCACTGCCTGTTGCAAGCCTGGCTTCCCATCCCGCGTTCCCGGCGGGCCGCACACACAACACCTTCCTCCACGGCCCTATCGCGCCCTCCCGGGACCGGCTGCTGGCTGAGTCACCCGTCCACACTGGGCACTAAGTGACGGTCCCTACCCGCGAGTCGGGAGCCGGGGCCCGGCCCACTTCACCGGCCACGAACGCGCCGGGGCCGGCGGCGAGGAGCGAAGCGCGCGTGCGCCGCACGGGCTTTATTGCGTCAGAACGACTCCAGAGCGCGCGGCTCGATCATGAGCACGCCGCTCGCGCCTTCGCGTTTACGCATCTTCCTCTGCCAGGCGCGCGCCGCGGCCGCCGGGCTGGCCTGGGTGCCGAGCTTCTTCTCCAGCAGGTGCATGCGCGCCGTAGTCTCAGTCAGCATGTCCATGAGCAGTTCCTGCTGCAGCTTCAGGTAGTTGTTCTCCTCCAGGAGCACCTGGCTCTTGCCCCGCTGCACCGGCCGCTTCCAGCCCGAGATGGTCGGCGAGGACAGCGGCGGCCGCGACCGCACCGGCAGCCCCTCGGCGGCCCACCGGCCGCCACGGAACACGAAGGCCTCGTCGCTCAGGCGCGTGCGCGGCGCGCCGTAGCTGAGGCCCAGCTCGGCCTGGCGCGTCCTGTGGTCCAGCAGGTAGAAGGTGGACATGGAGGAGATGCGGCGCAGCGGCGGGCGCCGCGGCGAGAAGCGCCGCGAGACGTGGTCGGCCCAGAACTGCCGGAACTGCTCCCACAGGCGGCCGGCGTGGCCCGAGGCGGGGCACCTGAAGGCCTCCAGGGCGAGGGCCGAGTGGGCCGTGTCGGGTGCGCGGGTGCCAGGTGCCGAGCCTCGAGGACGTGGACGACCGGGGCTGCGCCCTTGCCTCCGGAGTCCCGGCGTCCGGAATGATGAAGGCGAGCCAGGGACACTGCTGGGGAGCAAGAGTCCGGGTGAGCAGCCTGCTTGGACAGGCTGGCCCGTCAGGCCGCGAGCACCGGCGGACAAAGCTTAGCTCTGAGGTCGGCGCCAGGGGCTAACCAGCTGCTGGTCGCTGGGGAGCCCGTCCCTGCACACTGGCGCTGACAGAAGTCTCCTGAAACTACCTTCCCCAAAGACCACTCTGTGTCAGGCGCAGGGGACGTATATGCAGATGAAGGACCGCAACCCTGGCTTTCTGAGCCTCGGCGGGGCTGCTGGAAGGGGTTAGGGGCCCGGGAGTTGGGACTGGTAGAGACAGGTACTTAAAAGTTAAGCAGGGCTTTGCTAGGTGAATTGGGGGTAGATAAGGGAGAGAGCCACTAGGTAGAGTGAAGAGCCGGGCACAGCTTGCATGTTCGGGATGTGAGGAAGAGCTTGGAGTAGGGTAGGTGTATGGTACTCGGCTGGGAATACAAGAGGAAGCTGGAAAGGGGACCAGGGCCTAAACTTCATTCTGGCACTGCTGGTTTACAAAACCAGGGCTAGCTCTGGATTCAGAAAAGTATTCGGTAGGATATCTAAACTAACCAATGGCATAATGCGCCCTGGGCCAGGCCTGGTCTGGGCAGGGGTTCTTAGCCTGTGGCCGCCCTCAAGATGCTACTGGTCCAGCTTGGAACCCAGATGTGTGTGTAGATGACAGTAGTTCAGTATGCTCAGCGACATTCTGGGGGCACGTGCCGTGGGCTTGGACCAATGCTTAGGGTTTGAGGTCATAGGGGTTATGCAGACTACACGTGACTTTTCTCCCAAGCAGACTACATCCTCAAGGAAGCTGAAGTACAGATAACAAGTCTCATTCTCTGTCTCCCCCAAAGCCTGGAAGTGCTGACTCTATTCTATGGGGAAAGGACTCTATGTTCCCTCTTCTCCCACATGGAGGGTGAAAAGGGAAAGAACCCTCTGTCATGCCTACATCAATCCAATACCCACGTATTCCTCTTGCACATAGCTGGGCTGAGGGGATGGTACTATCCCCTAGATCTGACTCAGGGTGACATCTCTGAAAGCCCAAAGAGGGCCCAAGAGGGTGCAGCCAGGCCCACGTGTAAGGCTGCATCTTCCCAGAGGACCTTTTCCCGGTAATCCTCACTGCAGGTTGTGCCTCACCTGGAGGATGTGTTGGAGGTGCTGAGCTGCTGTCCCAGGCCTGGCCCCATGTCTGAACCACTCAGCTGCTCTCCACCAGCTATGACTCACAATGCCTCCAGGCCAGACTAGCCCAGGACAGAAGGGGTGCCTACAGTCTAGCCATAAAGCGGACTCTGGGCTCTCCCTGTATTCATGCAACACATGTATAGAGTGTTTGCTGTGTTCCAGGCACAGCTCTGCAGAGCTGGAGATAGGAATTTGATGTAAGGGAACGAACAAGGTAGTCCCCCGTGAAGCTTACCTAGGGTGTTATGGGTCAGGTTCCCAGAAGCAGAGCCAGAGATGAGAATTCTTGTTTGAGTGATTTATTGGGGAAGTGCTCTCAGGAGAACGGTGTGAGTGAAACAGGGCGGGGAAACTATAAAGTAAGCAGGAGAGTGGCCTCAAGTGGAAACTAGCTTCAGCCCCATCCCACAGGTAACTGCATAAATTGCACCACAGAGTTAGGCACCACAGGAAAGCCAGTCTTTTGTACCCTCTCCCTTCTCTCCCACACCCTCATTTCCCATCAGTTATTGGCAGGGGCAGCTGTGAGTTGTCAGCCAACACTTAAGGCACATATGGGGTGAATGCATCAGCAGGAAAAGGGCTCCGTTGGGCCCCAACAGCATAGAGGTGGGAGGAAGAGAATAAATAATAAAAATAAATAGAAGGGGCCCCTGGGTGGCTCAACAGGTTAAGCATGTGCCTTCGGCTCAGGTCATGATCTCGGGGTCCGGGTATCGAGCCCTGCATCTCGGGCTCCTTGCTCAGCGGGGAGCCTGCTTCTCCCTCTCCCTCTGCTTGCCTCTCT